TTTTACTATGTAAACCACAAATTCTCCCCCTCTACCGGAGGGGAGAGGGGGGTAATGTAAAACACAGAATCCAGTTGGTCTCGCCTTACACTATCTTATTGAGAAATATTTAAATTTTGAGAACATTGGATTTAATGAATTTGTTCTAATGAGACATTGATTTCAGATTGAATTTCCTACAGTCAAATAAACATTTATTACGAATTGCAAACTTAGATGTTGCTTAGATTGGCTCAAATTATAAACAAACAAAAAAAAAAACAACAACATTGAATCGATAAATTGAATTACATAAATACAGAAATAGCGAATAAAAAAAAAAATTGAATCGATAAAATTGAAACATATAAAAAGCGTATAAAAAAATTGTATCGATAAATTGAATTATATAAAAAGCGAATAAAAGGAATAATAAGCAAGCGAATAAAAATACCGAATCGAATAAATTGAAGTTAACCGAAAAAACTTGAGCGAATTAGAGACCGAATCGAATAAAAAATAATGAACCAGATCTGAATCAAGTAAATATGTATACAGCTGAGCATAGCATAAATAACTCGGTGAATAACTGAAAAAATAACGAAATCGAATATTTATCCTTTTTCAAGTATCTTTCAATTTTTAAAATTTGAAATGATAATAAGTTTAAAGTTTTGATGGGGATCAGTTTTGGGTTTCTTGTCAACCAAAGTGGTGCGACAAACCATAACGAGCGAATAACAAGAAAAAGTTCATTAATAAAATTTTCCAGGAAGCAAAATCAGGTCGATATCCAAATTTTGAATGTCTATCTATAATGTATATTGTAAGCATGAGAATGTCCTGCAATAATGGCCTATACAATTTAAAAGGCCAAATAAAAGATAATACATGTAGAGGCATGTCCTGGAATAACAATTTAATTTGCAAACGAATATTTCCAATATGGCTAGTATCCAAAAGAAGTCTTTTAGCATCTTCAGAAGATACTAGTTTGAACCTGGTGAGCTAATTCTCATGTAAATAATTCATGTAATAATAATCAATTGCAAGAATTCTTATTTAATAATTATCAGCTTACCAATAAGAATTATCCAAGGCAAACTTGTATGGTAGGGTTCGAGGCACAGGGGCATGAGTATGCCTTTTAAGGCAAGCCATAGAGCATGCCTTGGCTCAGAGCACATTTGTAAAGTAAATTTTAACTCAGGACGTGCCTCGAACACTATTGTGTGAACTGTTAAAAATAAACAGAAATAAGCTTTACACTCAACATTATAATAGAGTATGTTATCATATAAAATGAGAAATTACCAAGTTTTAGGAAGTCATCTTAATGTTGTGAGTGGTAAACTAAAAGTTAGGCTGGGAATATTTCATGCTTTATATATTGTCCTATTATCATATTGATCTCAATTAGGAATGCCTAAAGCTACGTATAAATGAAAACGAAAAAGGGGAAACGAAAAATATTAACCCATATTAAGCCATTCCCTTTTAACTTCTCATATTGTCGAGTATCAGAGAACATTTTATGCTATATAACTAGTAGAAATAAAATAAATCAGGTAAGTATCATATATTTTTAGTCTTAATACATATGTCTCCCATTAATAGCGTCATTCGTGTCATTGTCAAATATATATCAAAATCAATAGAGCTAAAAAAAAGTTTTGATATATTCCGATAAATGACTTAATCACGGAATTTACCGTATGCAAATAAAAGAGGTGAAATAGTTATATTTAACACGTATTAGGATATTTAGTACATATAATGAAATTTCTTTTTAAAAAAAATTTGCTTTAGTCCTTCCAATTTTCATTATCAAATATTGGATGCTATCCGTTGATCTTAGTAAGGGAATTATAAATTCATTTGCAAAAAAAAAGAAGAAAAAAACAAAAAAAAAAGAATAAAAATGAAATGGATGCCTTAATCATATTAAGACAAATTGCAACGGAAATGACCGACATAATGGCTTTTTAAATAGCACGATTTTAATTCTAATCGTCCTTTTCTAGAGCGTTTGCGTAAGGAAAACATACGTGTTTTTAAACCAGGGGACATCTCGTTCTATAGTTATCTTATTTATCTTAATCTCCAGGAGGCCAGAATACGTGGCCAGCCTCAGGACGACAAAATTTTAGATACGACAATCTATTACTAAATTTGTGATACCTTTCACTCGCATGCGACCGATCGGTCGTACTAGAGATTGTACCCGTCAAGAAAATCTCTACCTGGATATTATTAAATTACCCGGTTATCCGGGTAATTTATTATAGCCATATAATAAAAATATGAGCGATCAGAAGGATGCCATCAAACAGATAAGACCATAAATAATACAGATAGCATTGATCATAAATTTCGGATCTATGTCAAATCCCGAAATTTAATTGTCGCGTCGTGTGATGTCGGGTTCCAGTATTCAAACCACTATTACTAATAATAAGCGGGTTTGAATACTGGAACCCGACATCACACAACGCGACATTTAAATTTCAGGATTTTGACTTTCGGGATTTTGACATAGAATCATAAATTTCGCATAAAATGCATATTCTAGACGTCACTTTCAAATGCTATACTAACTTAACTACATATTATGGTCATCAGAATATTAAGTGGGATCTTTGCTAGGAAAATCACCCTTCGGGATTTTCCGATCGGGTTAATTCGAGACCAGAATGCTGGTTCTTATTCATATGTAAAATATCTTTTTACTTTACTGATTTGACAGTTTATTTGATAAACTATCGAATAAACAAAGCAAATGATTTACATATGAATAAGACTGGTCTAAGCTTTTCCGAATTAGCCCGATCGGAAAATCCCGAAGGGTAACTTTCCTAGCAAAGATCCCAAGTATGTTAATTTTTTGCAGTAGCTCATGAAAGAACTATGATAATTTCAATAAACTAACTCAACCTTAACTGCTGTGTAACACATTAATAAGTAAGTTCTGTAATGAAATTCTTGCAGTAAATTATGGTAAAAATCATTATAATTCCAATACAACTATGCTTTATGTATTGCATTATATGGTAAGTTCAGTAATAGAATTTTTTATGCTATTAAAAAATACTAAGTAAGGGCGGTACCTTGCGCTATCCATCGCACTGGTTACAAATAACAGCTACGTATACATATATAATTGCCTTATATAAACATTTAAATGATTTATATTATTTATAATAAAAATGCCAACACAACCTCAAACTAAGCTCCCTTAAAGCATACTCTTTAACCTTGTTAACTTTGTATAAAATTTCTTTGTCGGTGTGATCATATGGGCGGATTTGACTCATTGATGTAATAATCGAAAATAATCTACATGTACTTTAATAGATTAGATATGATTTATAAAATCAGTCAATCGTAATAAAAGTTTGTTAAAGGAAATCCGGTTAAACTTTACAAAATTGCTGAACTTGATAAACATGATCGAACAATGATATGTAAACAAACCAATCAATTTATCACATGTAATAAGATGATATTTGTTGTGATTATCGTCTGATTGCACATTACTAAATAAGGAACTGTCGTTAAAGCCAGGTGCCATCACGAAATTTAATTAAAAAATTATTAACATTAAGGTTAGTTCAGGGTCCGTATGGGCTAAGGTTAAAAATTCTTATAGGTAAAATCGTTCCCCAACATTTTTTCTTAATAAATCAAGATAGGGTTTAAGCATTCGTTTCTTGTATTTTTCGTATTTTTTATTTTTTTCTTCGTCAGGCTGATCCGTGTAAAAAAAAAATCCGCGACTTTAATTGGTCACATACAATGGAAAATCTCGTGATGGCACCTGGCTTTAGACGATCCCTAAATAAGGAAATAAATCAGAGCAACTTTCAATGAAAATCTTTGATTTCATATCCAATTGCTGAATTATCACATGGAGTTTACTTGCATCAAATCCCATATGTCAATCTCGTGCATAATAACAAAAGAAATTAGGGGTTGTCAAAGGCCAATTTATATACATACTAGGAGAATGTGTCCGGAGCTAAAAATTAATTTTTAGTATCATACAGTGTATTCGACCAATCATCACCGTAGAAGTAACAGACAGATTTGAGCATGTGATAATAATCACTTGCTGTCGTAAAAACTGAATGTTATCGCTTCGCTCCGGACTATTATACATAAGTTTACTATTCTTAATTATTTTTAATATATCATTGCGGAATTTTTTCCTGGGAAAAACCTCAGATAATGCATCTATCCATACTTAGTGTTAGATTAACTCTGTATATATTCGTTAAGTGAATGGCTAAGCTCTTAATTGGTTCATTTTTCACATGTGAAATACGAAAGTATTCTCTAAAAATAGATATTAGCAATTTCAGGTACAAATATAATATTGAACAAGATGAAACCTGAGCTGTGAGCTAGTAAAATCTGCCACGTATATCGGGTCTAATTATGTTTATTTATTATATAAAGCGGATTTCACTCTCAAAGTGACGATCATAGCGGATTTTACTAATTCACAATTCGCCATGAAGGATCCGAGTACATCCTTTAATTTCATAATAGATTTCCGAGGGTAAGAATATTTCCGTGGATAAGGAAAATTCTGTGAATAAAGGATTTCCGAAGATAAAAAAAAAGATAATAAATTAGTAATGATATAAACTGTACAAATATGAAAATTTTATTAATAATATGGCTATACAAGGAGAATTCTGAGAATGAGGGGATTTTCGAGGACAAGGAGAATTCTGAGAATAAGGGGTTTTCGAAGACAAGGAGAATTCCGAGTATAAGAATTATTAATACATTATACCAATGATTCGTCTGCCCAAAATGTAAGCATCTTTCCTTACAAGTAACTTTTCTCAATTTAATTGTAATATAAATAAGCCATGCTTTGGTATATTATTTTTTTTCTTTAGAAGACAAATCCTTTATGATTATTAATAAATGTTAAAAAATTAAAAAAAAATTAAAAAATTACTGGAACATATGTGTAAGAATAATCCTTTTAAGCACCATCCTAAGATTAAATGTTAGATTATCATCAAGATTATCATAAAAAGAGATGTAGAAATGTGGGTGCTTTAAGAATTGCTTATAAGCGTTTGAGAGCACTCATATTAACCGGGAGAAGACGACGAATGTATCACTCTATACAATCGTCAAACCTTGTAAGGCCACTAAACTCTCCGTTCATTCAGTTTGAAGGGTTGGTAAATGGACTTGCAGAAAAAGCGCAAGGAATCGATAGAAAAGTATTAATTTATTCCAATATTTGTATAGATATTCGCTTCTACTTATTGTGAATCTCATTATTTACACTTTTTTTAATCATAATTTATTAGTCGAATATTACACAGCCTGGACGACTTTTAGAAAACGTTATTTCGGCCGATGGTCTCTCTCGCTGTCGTGATAAATATCATTATACAACAATCGTGCTGGCTATTTGTTTATTCTATTTAATAGATTCCAGTGCGCAATATTATATGAAATTATTATGCATAATTGCAAATACCGCATTTATTTTCTTTTTTTTTCGTAAAGTTTGTTACATAGTGTAATATACAGGTTCACGGATTTTTATTGTTTATTTTGGGCTGGTACGGAAACTATATGCCTAAATTTTTCATTTATTTCTTTGATGCTATTATTGGTTATTATTCTATGCTATTTTTTAATTCGTAATGATTTGTTGACAATTGTATGCCTACAATTTTTTTTTTACCCCGAGTCTTTTATCTATTCCCGAGTGCTGTATTCGTTGTACTTATGCAAAAAGTTTTTTATGTTATCTGCCTATTCAGTACTTTATCATATATGTATATGCAATAAATGGTAACCTTATGCTTTAATAACTAATATTAAGGAGATCGCAAAATAGAATAATAATAATAATAATAACAATAATAATAAAAATAATAATAATAATTAAAAAAAAAATAAAAAATAAAAACATCTCTTTTCGAATGCTTAGGGTAAGAAAGATTAGATCGATCGAACCGTCGCGTGGTCCACGTGATCCACGTGATGTTCGATCGGGTAGGACGTAAACGAGATTTCGGGAATGATAAATTGATGACGCAGACATTGATTACAAAAGTCAAAGTATAGTAATGTGCATAATAAATCGTAATAGAATGGAAGTAATATGGCGTGATTATTAATTATTAAAAATCAAAATTCGTATGAGCGAAAAATGATGTAATTGAAAAGGAAAAGGATGTATTGAAAGGGCAAAATAAAGAATAAATTAGTGACTTTCCACGTAAAATAACTTCCAAATCACAGTAATTATATACGAACAAAAATCGTGCCCTTGTGTGGCCTATAAGCTTATAGCGTTTGTTTTACCTTTGAGGTAGATGTTAGTAGCAACGGCAACTATTAACACCTTTGGTACTAGAGACAACGAATGTGGGTGGCTTCAGCTGCCCGGTTGATGTTGTGGTAACAGGTAATAGTAATACAAAGTTAAAAAAATGTTATCATTTCTATTGAACTTTGATATTTAAAACTTTTATTTAAAGTATTAGCCTTTTATAATAAAAGTTATTAAATTACTCTGACAAATGAACGTCATATTCACAAACTGAATAAATGCGATTAAGCAGAAATTTAACGCAATAAAAAAGCTCGTTTATAATTAGAGATATTCAATTTTGCCAATAGATTGCATCATTTATTTACCGAGTTTAGACTAAATTGTGTTATCTTTGTGCATGAGATCTGCAATCAAAATTTTCCAAAGGAAATATCTCATCCGTCATTTTTATAAGACTAACAAGAACCCGTGCCGTTGGGCGTGGGGTAAAATTAGAGTCATTAATAGTTCAAAATCTTTTCGGTCTGGATTCCGTAAATAGGGACTTTGATAAGAAATTAATTCTTAAGTCAAGTTGAGCATGTGTATATTAATACGCATTATTTGTATGACCATGTTGTTACTGTCATAATAAATATTCGTGAATCTGAATACTTAGATTAATAAATGTTCTTTATTCTTATGCACTAAAATCAATACGAATAAAATGAACTTAAATAGTAAATATTCATGAACTTTTTAAATGCTCAAATTATCGTACGATGCACTAAATCCATGCGTATAAATAGTAAATATTATGAACTTTGATAGCTTAATATTCATTATATTTACGATCTAAAATTCTAAAACATATTATGAATAGTAACCAAAATTGGAATATTTATTTTGTATATTTAGGTTAATATATTATTTTTATACCCATGCATTAAATTATCGCGAATAAAATAAACCAATTCAAGACTTGAATAACCTATTTTGAAAATTAGATTATAAATGTTTTCACTAAATTACTGCGAATAAAATGAATTAAGTGCTATGTAACGTGATATTTATTAAATACTAAGTTTAATATAAATATGCAGTATATTCTTTATACTCACATACACAAAATTAAATATGTAGTAAATATTCATGAACTTGGGTAGTTAATTGAAGTTGTTATCTACTTAGATGTACCAGTTCAGCTTCTAAAAGCTATGGCTCTAGCTTGAGCTATCTACTGGAACACGGTATTGTGATGTGGTTTCAAGTCAAGTAATTTCTAATAGTTTAAAAATAATATGCGACATTAATTTGTGCCATTTTAATCTACATTAATTTTAAACTATGGCTTATTGACTCTGCAACTAAGCTAGGTTAAAGTAAGCCAAAGTCCAATGTGCATTATTATATTCATACTCGCAAAGTTAGGTAAAATCAGGTCATCCCGAATAGAAGTAGTCATGACACGGTTGAAAGTCTAACCCGGGTTATCTGGATGATTCCCTATATAGCTAACTATATTTTCTTGTATGTTATAACAGTCTTAAGTGATTTGTGGATGTGATTACTTTTTTTTTTTATTAAGAAAAAAAGCCAACGAATATTTATTTGTCATTTAGGCCGTAATTGGGTCAAATTGGCAATTGTGGTTCGTGATCGATCTACGGGCCGGCCACCTGTGGTCATAATTCATTCCGGATTTACATTTTCAAAAAATCCAATTCTGGTCAAATTTGCAGATTATTTGGCCTATTGGAGATAAGTTTTAAACTCATCTCCAATAGACCAAATGATCTGCAAATTTGACCAGAATTAGATTGTTTAAAAAATATGGATCGGTTATTTAGTTGATTGGACTAATTTAATGATATATAAATATTTTATATTAGTATTCAATTCTGACAATTATCATTAACTTGCGCATGAATAAACGTAATAAGAAATGATAAATGATCATTATCAGTTATACTTGCAACTACCGACTATATTAACTTGAATAAAAAATTAATAAAATAAAAGGTAATAATGTATCTTTTAAGATACATTATTTACCTTTTATTAAAGTATTTAAAAATACTTTAATTAATAAAGAGCATTAGTTTATTTTTAAACAATGTGTTTGATATATTCTATCAAACTAATGCAAAGAAATTGAAATGATGTGATTTATTCGAAAAGTATTGCACATATGTGGTGTGTATTATGATTTGGATGCATCGAGCAATCGATGTATAAACCGAGACGGAATATGCTCCCAGAAATAGTAATATGCGGTAATTGCGTTGGGTATCGCATCATCAGTTTAAATCACGGTGTGAAGTATCAGCCCATGGAAGTTTAACACAAAATGACACAGGTTCTGCAACTATTCTCTATGGCATGCTATATTGGTAATTCCATAATGCTTCTAAATTAGGTAGTTAATTAAATAATACTTATCTGACTTCATGTGCTCACCCCATGGTTGTTAGATCATCTCGTGCTCGATTTGGTTTAATGGACCTAACCGGATTGCTTTCAGCATATTCTTGCTTAGCTACCTTATCTATCTATTGACTTGAATTAAATACTATGTAGTAATGATAATAAGTTTAGTGACTTGAATCCGAATAAATTTCGGTTAACCGATTGAGGAAATTCTTAATCGGTTGACCCGGTACAGCCGGTTGAAAATTGGGTAATCGGTTGGCGGGTCGATATAGTACGAAAATGACGTGAGGTGAGAGTAAAGGACCAGAAAAGATCCGAAAAGAAAATGAATTGAACATAAAAGACGACAAAATTTTGATCAAAGCTCCAAGAGTTTCCGAAGGTAGTAGATATTAGTCCTAACCAGTTGAATGAAATAATTTTTTTTCGGTTCAAATCACAAGCTTTTTTCTTATATTATTGTCTATCAAGGTATCCTGTACATTTTTACAATCATTTTTTCATGTGAAAATATGGTACAACTTACATTCTTAATTTATTTTGAATTATCCAATTTATTTTAACGTTAAAAATTCGAGTCTCATGACTATAGGAGAAAATCTGTTTATCCTTCAAAGCGTATAAAGATCAGTGATAGTCGTTTTATAATGTATGAAGATGCATAAGTGAAATTTGTAGATCAAAAAGAAATCACTTATTTGCCATATGCTGTAGATCTTCAGCTATATGAGGGCCATTCGAACCCTCATATAACCGGAATTTATTTCTTATTCCCACCATTTCGAAAAATAAATACTACTTATTCACCTACAGCTACTTCATAATTCCTGGAACACCTGATAAAAATTGACCGAATGATTTTTCGGCTGATCCGGTTAAGTTATTGATTTCGGCATGATCCATATAATAATAAAAATAATACGTAAAAGCTATTTTGGTATCATAATGATAATTTTACAATCAGTATAACAATAATGTCATCAAATGCTTGTCCAACATGTTTGGTTGCTTAGTTTGTACAAACATTTATGGAAAAGACAGTTCTTGTCAACCAATAAAACTTAATAAAAAACGTAAAAAAGGATCCGAATATAAATTAGACTTTTATAACACGAACAGGTGCCTCTATGAAAAAAGTTAAATATGAACATGAATTTGTTGGCTGGTTTAAAAATAAATCTCTAGCTAAGATTCTAAGCGACCAAGATTATTAATATTTGTCGAGAATGCATGAAGAATTATGATAAACAAAATCCAAGTAAAAAATTTTATGTTTATATTTGTTTATATATTTTTCGTCTTCGACAAGGAGCGAAAAATAATTAGAAATAAATAAATTCTTTCGTTTGAACGAAAATGTATCTTGCCAAAGAATAGAAATCGAAATTTAGTTTCGACAAGAAACGAAAATAATTAGAAATAATAAATGACTTTGTTTGAACGAAAATGGATCATGCCAAAGAATAAGAATTGAAGTTTTATACAATTTTTTAAAAAACTAATTTTCGTCGAAATATAATTAGAAATGAATAAAGGCTTCGTTTGAATGAAAATGGATTATAGAAATGAAATTTTTTTTGAAAATGAGTTTTCGTTGAAAAATAATTAGAAATGAATAAAGGCTTAGTTTGAACGAAAATAAATCTTGCCAATGAATAGGAATTGAAATTTTATACAATTTTTTAAACCCGAATTTTCGCCGAAAAATGATTAGAAATGAATAAAGGCATCGTTTACAGCTGTTTTCATAAATTCAAGGACACCTAAAAATTTTCTCGTTTCCTGGAATCTTTTTGGTTTCGTCCGGTAAATTATCTAGTTCTCTGGAAACTACATCGCTATTTTCGAACCTTCAGTCCGGAGACAGCGATGTAGTTTCTGGAGAGTTAGGTAATTTACCGGACGAAACCGAAAAGATTCCAAGAAACAAGAAAATTTCAGGTGTCCCAGAATTATAAAAACAGCTGTAAGCTAAAATGGATCGTGCCAAAGAATAGGATTGAAATTTTACGACTTACAAGTGCGCATGTCAATATTTAGTCTTATTGTAATATATATTAGTCACCTGATCTTATTAAATTACGTATTTGATATATTTGTTACTGAATCTTATTATTCCCGAAATATATAACTTAACCGGATCGGCCGAAAAATCATTCGGTCAATTTTTATCAGGTGTTCCAGGAATTATGAAAGTAGCTGTAATTTAGTTTCTTGTTTAGTGATATGGGCCGACCCGGAAAATATCGGCCGGGTATCTTCGTAATGTAGACAATAAGACAACATCCATATAGGAAAAATGGATCGGATCGGTACGGGTTGGTTTCGGATAGGTTCGGGCCTTTGTGGCACAGGTCAAGATCTGGATTTGTACGGGTAGGTACGGATTCGGTGGTCCGTGTGGGACCGTATGCCAGTGCCAATTGGACCGTAAATGGCACGGGTTTTACAGCAGTTTACTAGTCGAATCGGCAAACTAAAGATCAGGTGTAACATTACACGATCAGAAAAAATCAAAACAAACGTTAGCTTTGTCAAAAATCGCTTGTAACTCAAAATGTAGTATAATAAACCACCTTTAGTGCTTTAACAAAAAGTTTTCCTTGAGCAATTTTACCTATAGTTCTCTCTAACTCTAACCTGAACCCTAACCCTAACCCTAACCTAAACGAACTTAAAGAATTTTTCGGTGTGTTACACATAATCACGTGCCGGTG